CCTATTAAGATAAGATAAGATAATAAATAAAGACCACAAAACCAACAATGGGGAGAAGAGACAATAAGTTACACGATCAAGCAATAAGGTTGAACAGCCCAAAAGACAAGCAGCATTTGTTTGATTTTATTTTTAATGTTGGCTTAGCTCAGAGGAAATTAAATACTAGAATCAAGAACATGCAGACAGCTTTGAAGGGAGAATCAAGAATGATTAAAATAACTAATCCCAAAGATCACCCATCTACAAATCAGTAGTTGTTGATTGTATTGTAGTATTCAATTATTATTTTTAGTAGCACATGATAAACGACCGCCGGAGCAAACTATTGTTTTACCCCGATGCACAAAGGATTGTTTCCGAAACTTGAATACACTACATCCAAATTACAATTGAGTAAAGTTTACTAGTAGGTCAAGACCCGCCCTCAAATTGGAAAAGGGGAGTACTTGGAAGTTGATTGCTTCTTAGTTACTAAAGAAACGCCATTGTTAGCTTCACTGTTCTTGTTTTTCATCAGATATGGAAGAAACCACCAACTTTTCATCAGGAAAAAGGTAACTTCATGACATGATTTTCAGATTGTGCAATATGTAGATCAAGTTGATTCTTCATGAAAATTGTATTTTTGGTTTGCAATTTTTGATGTTATTTCAGGTGTGCTGTAGTTACCGGGGCAAACAAAGGAATCGGACTAGAGATATGTCGCCAGTTAGCATCCAATGGAATTAAAGTCATATCAACTGCTAGGGATGAGAAGAGGGGTGTTGAAGCTGTTGGAAAACTCAAAGCTTCTGGGCTCTTAGATGTTGTTTTTCATCAACTTGATGTAAAAGATCCTGACAGCATTGCTTCTTTGGCAAAATTTGTAGAAACCAATTTCGGAAAACTCGATATTCTGGTGAGAACACAAATTCACTGATGAAATTGTGCCTGCTGATGTTCAACTTTTCTCCCTCTTTCCTTGCACATGTTCCTCGTATAATACAGTTAAACCACCATTTACTCTAAAAACTTAAGATATTACAATGGCGTAATTTAAAGCCTCTTACCTTACACTGAAGGTCGAGGAGAGAATTGGATTAGTCTCTGTATATTTGAATGATTCTGAAAATAAGAATGCAATGAACTTCAGATACACAAAGGAGGGTACCACTAATAATTGCTGATCAGTGTGCTGTTGATAATAAACTCTATGCAGATCAATAATGCAGCGGTAAATGGAGTTACAATCGACATTGAAGCATTAAGAGCCTTTAAACTTGGAGGGGGATTAGTAAGTATTTGGAGATTCACCTGTAGTTTTTTATCAAAAAAAGGTGGACTTGTGTCCAGAAAATTTTCGAAACAGCTTCCCACTCATTAGTCTTTTTCAATTCGATCCAACAGAATTCAATCTAGTCATACATTCGGAATTTCTTTAATCCTTGCTTATCAAAAGTTCAACCCAAATTTCATCTCGACACTTAAATGTTTGATTATTTGGTATTTCATTCCAGCTTCGACTGAGAGCAAAAATCAAAAGGCAAGAAAGAAATCATCCGTAATCCCTTTAGGCCAACCTTCTTGTGATTGAACTAGATTGAACCAGCATAAGAATATAGGTTCTTAGCTCCTGATTTATTTAACAATTTACCCCCAACAAGACAATCTCATAGTTTGGCCATCCAAATCAAGTAATTTCTAATTTATGCAGGTAAATGATGAGAATGCTCATTTGGTGAATAGAGTCATGCAGCAGAGTTACGAAAAGGCAGAAGCATGCATTAGAACAAATTATTATGGAACTAAAAGTATGACTGAAGCTTTTCTTCCTCTCCTTCAGCTCTCTAACTCAGCAAGAATAGTAAATGTCTCGTCTATTTACGGACAGCTACAGGTAATAAACACAAAATATTCATGCTTTATTAGTATTAACACGATCCGATTATGTCTTCCCTCTTTCTGTTTCAGTTTATTTACAATGATATGGTCAAAGCAGAGCTGGAAAATCTTGAAAGCTTGACAGAGGAGAAAATAGATCAGCTTTTGTTGATGTTTCTGAAGGATTTCGAGGAGGATAAGTTGCAAGCTAATGGTTGGCCTCTTACAGTATCTGCGTATAAAGTTTCAAAAGCTGTCATCAACGCCTATACAAGACTGGTAGCAAAGAAATTCCCTAATATTCTTGTCAATTGTGTGCATCCCGGACTTGTGAAAACAGACATTTCAAGCAACTACGGAAACTTGAGTCCTGAAGAAGGTGCTAGAGCTCCTGTAATGCTGGCTTTGTTGCCTGATGATGGCCCTTCTGGCCTCTACTTCTACGAGATGCATGTGTTTTTGACAGTCATAAATATCTGAGTTTCAGAACATGCTTATTGCTACATCGAACTTCTCTGTTGTCTTTTGCAAAAGATTGCACAATCCGAAGGCATTTGGAATCATCATATAGTACTTGCCTTTCTTTCAAATTCAAAGTTTCAACCGATCTTAATTTCTAACAAGCAATGAAGTATAGATGTCATGAAAGAAGATTGTATTCAGTACTCAATGCCCAGAACTACAGAAATTATAAGGTTTGTTTCAACAATCCCTATGACTATCCTGTTTATTTAGCATATAAATAGAGGCACAATTTAAATCTATAGGGGGGCACAAGAAATCCCCAAAAAATATCAAAATCAAGTCCAAAACCAACAAAAACGCGGAGTTCCTATTAAGTAGGTGGAATGAAGCCATCCTTGAATCAGAGAGCAGCAAGGGAAACATCAGATGATCATGATGCTGCTATACTGTGTCTGGTTCAGATATGGGTTCTTCTTCTGGTTCTGTTTGTGGCAGTGGTGCCACGTTTTTCTTAATCGAAGCAGTCTTGGTGAGATGACTGTAGCTACCCTTCTCCTTGAACAACTGAGAAAAGTGGGGCTTGCAATACAGATTTCCATCCAAAGCAGCATAGGATGAGGTTGTAAGAAAGCAGCCCCCGTGCACGCATCTGAAGCATGACTTATGGTAAAATTCTCCCTCCATGGTCACCTGTAACAATTTTTTATCAGAATCATTAGCACTTAGGCTCAGACACGACCCAGACTCCTACGATCTATCTACACTTAAAAAAAAGTTGCTGCTCTTGAACAAATCCTGAAAAGATTGGATCGCCTCCTCCTCTATCCCCATTTCGGAAGCCTGCCCGTTTGAGTCTCACTTAGTCTATGGCACACATATTTCTCTATGGATTATAAATACAGAACTATTAGACTTACAACAAAATGCAATGCAGATAGGGGAAGTAAGATAGCTTACCTTCTCCAATGGATAGACCGTCTTTTTACAGACTGCACATTTGTCTTGGGTGCCAGAGAAGAATGAGGAGAGTTTGCTAGGGGTCCTGGCCTGCAAGTCACAGAAATACACATGCAGAATGGTTGAAAACTATCTCACATACTCAATGTAATGCAACAAAGAAGAAATATCAAGAAAATGAGGCACAAACAAACGGATTGAATTTGTGTACCAGCTCATTCTGCTTCCCAGCTGTTCATCCACAAAACAATCCATTAGGCCAAGTATACAGAAAGTAAGCAGATTTTTGATGCCATAAGTGATGTGAAAAACTCACATGGTTGGAATTTCTTAGTTAAATTTCCGGCGGTCTCCTTAAAGAGTTGCTCAAAGTGAGGCTTGCAGTATAAAACTCCTTCCATGGAGGAGTAGTTACTCATCTGTACAAGCATTAGTGCTGCCTTGAATGAATAACAAATTTCACACGATCTAATAAAACCTATAACCGCACAATCCCTTCATCTACATCAAAATTCAAAACCCCAGAATTGCAATTCATACAGTTTGGTAAGATAAAACCAATATGAAACTCCCCTGCTTCTCTTATTAAACTTAAAAGTGGGCAATCCTGATTGCAAAACATCAAGGCTTTTTTCTATCCAATTGATGAAATACAAAGGCAAACAGCTTGATCGATTTCGAGACATAATTTTTTTCTATGTATATATGCTCTTGAATTCACAAACCATAAAAACTTCAAAGAGATGATAATGCATACCCCAAGTCGTCCATTGCAGTGACTGCATTTGAAGCAGGTCTTATGATAAGGAATTCCATCAGCTGACAACATCTCAATGAAGTGAACAGTCTTGTCACAGGCTTTGCATTTCTGTTGGCTTCCACTGAATGCCATTTCTCTTCTTTTCAAATCAAAAAATTCTGATCTAATGGGGTTATTATTCAGTCTCCAAGAATGATCAATGAGACCAATGACAAATCAAGAGGAAACTAATAAGCTGTTCTTGTACCAGTCAGATGTAAATTAAAGGCTAAAAATGAAATGGGTCATTGAGTGGAGAAGGTGAATGTAAACTGTGTTGAGGACAGGAATGATTGGAAAAAACAAAAATATTCTAATTATAGGATGAACTCAATGGAAATATTAGAGGGCAGATGATAGATTTTCCGCCTAAGCCGGCAAGGGACTCCACTTAGTTATTTTTGTAGTTAATTTAGTTGTTCAAATATAGATTTTTTCAAGGCCAATGCTATATATGGGTATTTTTCTTTGGTATTATCTATATAATCTCTTTGCATGATAAGAAATGTCTCGTTTGTTTATGATCTTAGACAATTTCATATTTACTAAAAAAAATTGAAATCAATATTGATGGTCGGATTAGTAAGTGCTATTGGCGTTCGCCAATTGTTTTTATGGCATTCATATGCAACATCATTTGGCATTTGAAATTTTATTAAAGATAAATTCTTAAAAACAAATTATGAAAGACTTTTTTTTTTTTGATAGCCACGATTTTTTACACTACTAGGGAGGGGAGCCACTAGAATTGAACTTTCAACATGCCACTCCATTACAAAGGGGTTAAATCATTCGAGTAGGACTGAGTTCCTAATAATAAAAGACTTGACACACTGTATTGTTCAAAGGTCTTTATCCTAAGCTAGTTAGGTTGAAATTGAACTTGGAAATAGCAATTTCACTTTCATAGCCTTGAGCCCCAGTAGAATTATATATATTCAAAAATTATGATTGCCAATCAGATGCAAATATAACATTGGTGTGAAACAATAAAGGAAAAAATTAGCGTAAAGATCAAATTTCCAAAAGTTTCCTTTTTGTTCTACAATCATATTGATTGTTAGATTGCCTTACGAAACGTTAATGCTCCATTTGGTACGATGGAAAAGTAGGAGGATGGAAAGTTAGAGGGATAAAAAAAATATCATGTTTGATAAGGAAGGAAAGTAGGAAAGATGGAAAAGTGGATGGATTAACTTTCCTTCCAACTCACCAAAATCAATCACTCCAAAATCGAAAGGAAAGTGAATGAAAAGTTAATTATTTGTGTTGAGATGTATCTTATTTGTCTATATATCTTATGTATACATTAATTTCATATAAAAATACAATGGTAAAATATGTATATATATTTTAAAAAATTTTAAAAATTAATTTTTTAAAAAAATAAAAAATAAATAAAATTTAAAGAAATAATAAAAATAATAAAAATTTTAAGTTAAAAACAAATATTGTTTCCATCTTAACTAAGGGTAAAAATTTTCAACTCAACACGATGACACGACTCGAACTTGATACGAAAATAAATAGGTCAATTCGTAACTCGATACGACACAATTAATTAAATGAGTTAAGTTAGGTTTGACTAATATTCGACACAAACTCGTAATGATTCAACACGAATCTGACACGACACGATTCGACTTTATTATTACCCTTAATCTTAGCAAGCACAAAAAAAAAAAATAGTCATTTTTATTTTTCATTCATCCATTCAACCAAACACAAAAGAAGGAAAGTGTATTCTTCCTACTTTTCATCCTTGAAGAATAAAAAATATATCATTCCTAATTTTCATCTTTCATATCAAACAGAGCATAAAGAACCGGTGAAGAATGAATAATGTCCGGTAATACAGTAATACTCACACGAGGATAAGATCCTTTTTTAGTTTAGCAGTGAATGTCTTGTGTCTTAGAAAGAAAGATTTCTTCCCTGATTCAAACCATGAATGTGATACCTTGCTAAAAGTCATTTACGACATTTTTATAGATAGGAAAATGCTACAAAATTCAAATGAAATTTAAAAATTTTAATTCAAATACATATCATTCTTGGATGAATAAGTCTTATTGAAAAAATTAATGAGACCACTCATGCAAGAAATGATATGCATTTAGATTGTAATTTTTTTAGTTTTATTTGAATTGTATAGTATTACTAAATATAATCATCTACATTTAAAAAATCATATGCTCTGCAAGACGCTAATACAACTTGGAGAGGGTTTTGATTGATTAAAAAAAATAAAATATTTAAACTGATATATATATATATATATATATATATATATATATATATATATATATATATATATATATATATATATGCTTAGATAAAATCATACATAAAATAGGAATTGAGGGTTGTGGGAGAGCAATACAAACGTCGTGTTTCTAGAGTCCTAGTCAAAGGTAGAGCGTTGCACCCTAGATGATGAAAGTCCAATAACTGAAAGTATCACCTGTTTTCACTCTAACCTGAATAGCATGAGACACATTGAATCCCGCATGAATCAGACATTGTCATTGTGTTTTTAAAATTTTTGTATATTTTTATTTTAAGTTATCCAAATATTGAACCATGGTTTCTCCTGATGAAAAAAAAATAAAAAGAAAAAATGGGTAAGCTTAACGTTGGGCTGGTGGCCAGTGGCCAGTGGCATGTCGTACCCAATTAGGGGTGATCCTAACTTTAATTGGATGAGCAAGTAAGGTTTGATTCGTGGTTTCCACCGTTTAAGGCCCTTCTAAAGCGTATCTTTCACATATTCAAACTGTTATGGTCACACTCAAGTAGGATCGATTTGCTGTTCACCCCCTCTTAATTTTTTTTTAAAATAAACAATTTTTTATTAAGAATATCTTCAAGAAAATGATTAAAACTTTAAAATAATTAAAATTTAGTTATTCAGAGGCAAAAACACATGCTTCAATAGAATATGTTCAGCGTAGATAAAATACATTTTTGCTACAATGTGCTCTATATTTATAGTAGCATTATGTATAAATAATTTATAATATATTCTATCTCATCTTGTCATTTTTCACTTATTTTCTCCACTCTTTGTCTTTCTTTCCATTTTTTCTCTCCCTCCCAAATAGTCTCAATAAAGGTACAAAATAGAAAAAATAATATTTAAAGAAAAATAGTTAAATATAAAAAATCTATTGGAGTATGTATTAAAAAAGTGAATAGTTAAAATAGAAAAAGTACATTTTTGGATAGCTAAAATACGAGACCTTGCTAGAAATGCTCTAATATGAGTGAAAACTTTACAAAGAAAGAAAAAAAGTAATTAAAAAACCCCCTAAGGAAAGTTACATTAGTTAATGAGATAGTATACCAATTAATAATAAAATTTTAAATGGATAAAATGAACTCTATTTAAGTAGTTATTGGTTTACTTAAAAGAAACGTTGATAGTTATTTGCTTATATGTATATATAATTATTGGTTTGTGTGAGATCTATTTTCTTATTTATTTATACATTATTAGTTTGTGATGATACCACATAGTAATGTTGACGTGATATCACCGTTGTAAATTATATATTTTTCCACTTGTCCACCCCAAGCCCGTGAAAAAATATTAGGTATAACAGTGATACAACGTCATCATTGTTACATGATGTCATCATTTAATAATAACATAACAAATAAATTAGTGTTTCCCACATATTCAAGTAACCACATTGTCATATCATTTTAAATAGGTTCTTTTTTATAATTTTTTTTTTGGTTTAAAAAATGGTGGGGGTAACGAAGAGACCCCAACGACCACCTTCACCAGTGAGATCATAAAAGTCCCTGACCGCTTTCGAAACACCTCTTAGAACTAAATTTAGCTAGACTAGTATAGCAGCCAATCACTAAGCTCTAAAAGGAAATTCCAAGATTCAAAATTTCAACCTTTAGATGAGTAGTAAAGTCGATACCACCACTAAACCACTCTACTTTATGGTCTATTTATAAGTTTATTATTAAACGATGACATCAGATATCAATAATCTAAAATGTCACTTTTACGTAGGGCTGTCCATGGGCCGAGTCAGGTTTGTCTCGTGAATTTTTTTTTTAGGTCAAACTTGAGTAATGTAGGCCCAAGCCGTACTCAGGCAAGTGGCGGGCCCGGCTCGGGTAAGGATAATCTACCCATAGCCCAGCCCCATCGCCAATTGGACGGGCTTTTTGGGCGGAATTTTGTTGCACCTGTTGGAAGCGAACTATTTTAAGTTATGATGGTCATTTAATTATAAAAATTGGTTGAGCAAATTTAAAAAGTTAAGTTGTAATAACTAATTTAATATAATATTGAACATATTCGTAACATTGATAATCGATACAAATAAAATGACTTATAGTATTACCAATAAACATAACTAAAAAGAATTTATTAAAACTAAAACATAAAAGAGAAAAATGAAAAGTAAGAGTTTGATAATATTATCCAAATTATATTGAAATAAATCTTATATTAAATAAGACTTTAGTGCATTTATGCAATCTCATTTGAAAATTCAGAAACTTGTATCAATTAATGAAAATAGATAAAAATAAATAATAGTAAATTTAATTATTTTAACGATTTATTTTTATCTTTTAAAAGAAAGAATATGAAAGGCTTGACTATATGTAATATTAATAAAGTTTTATCAATATAAATTTTATATTAATAATGTTAGTATTGTAAAAGTCAAGTCGTCCAATTAAAAGTTTAATATCAATTTAGTCTTATTAATATGAGTTCTAAATTAAATAAGATTAGTATTGTTTTTATATATTGTTTTAAGGTTAAAGTAGTCAATCAAAAGTTTTTCTAAATAGTGTACTTTTATTAGTAGTATAGATATAGATATATATATTATATATATTATATATATGATATATGAGTTTCGGGCTTCAAGTATGTGGGCGAGTTATTAGGTCGGGTATGTGGATAGATTATTAAATCGAGCTTTGGTATTTGGGCTGGGCTTCGGACTTCGGGCCGAGTAATGGATTTAAAGGTAAATCCAAGCCTTTTCTTAAAAAATATTAGACTCGGATTTAGGTGGGCTAATTATCGTACTTATTGGACTTCAAGTCTATTTTTTTTCGGACCGAATAACGAGACCGTGAATAATCATGCCCCCAGTCTTGCGCCCAATATTCACTCCAAGCGCACATACGGAAATCGAAAAGTGGTACCTACCGTAAAATTAGGGTAACAAATCTGGATCTCCTTCTAAGTAAACCTAGAAGTTAAAAACCCCCAAATGTAGTTATAGCCCTGCCCTATATTTTCCTTCATCTCAGGCTTCCTCCACTGTACTTGTTCTGCACAGAACAAACACACACGCACGCCGTTGGAAAGTGAAGGATTTTTAGTGGTTATTGTTGCTAGATAGTTTCTGATGAATTCGCGAGGAAGATATCCACCGGGTATCGGAAATGGTCGCGGCGGTGGTAGTGTAACTGCTCAGAGTGCAAACCCTAATCCTAACCCTAACCCTAACCCTAACCCTAACCCTAGCTTCAACCCGGTTATTATTCTAGAAACCCTCATCAAATGCAACCACAATACGTGCAGAGAGCTCCACAGAATCAGCAGCAACAACAGTGGCTCAGACGAAACCCGATTGGGACTGAACCCGCTGTCAATGAAGTTGAAAATGCAGTTCAGTCCGAGGCCATGGATTCAAGGTACATTTGCCCACACTCTAGGTTCCTTTTTTTTTTTTTAAATTTAATTTTATCGGTATTAGATTTTTTTGGGTTCCATTTTGATTTGGCTCTTTCGTTAATGAAATTGGGGTTTATCTGGGTAATTTAGAGTTGGCTCAAGTATTTTTGATTTGATGACATTTGGGTTGAACTGTTCGTTGAAATGAGGAAGGATATGATTGGGTTTCTGTTAGTAAGCACATTATTTTT